CGATTTGTATAGGTACATGAAATAGTTGACCGATTAGATCAGCAAAGCCAACGTACTATATTCGAGTGCAGTCGAGATGCTTCTACGAGTGAATCAACGAACGGTAAGAAACGAGCGGTTATATTTGAAGCAATGACACTTATCGTACAGATGATTCAATCGGTTACGTCTATCTTCCAATTACTCGCTGCACCGCTGATCTTTATCTACGAGGACAGAGCATCTCCTTCCGCCAACTTGATCGATACGGAATTAAAATACAAATCGTGCTTCTGTTTTTTTGATAAAGTTAATAAATAGATTATTACCTATTATAAAAATAGTATAAAAAAAAAAGGATTTTGCAACTTCTAGATTGCAAAATAAAAATTGTCTTGACAATTCCGCGGCATTTGACAGAAATATATTCTAACACAAATCATATCTAATGCATGACAGTCTAACAACATATGCAAATTTTTATATTATTATTAAAAGATTATATTAATTGTTTTACTGAATTTTTAACTCATAGTCGCTGAAAAAGTAACGAGAAAATTATCTAGCTCAGAGAATCAATATATTTCTCGTAAAATAGTTGTTTCTAAGCTTAACTGAATTGATAACACGACTTTTTACGCTCTCGGGTTAAGGGTTAATGAAGAAAAAGTGTGGCAATATTTTTCTCATCAAGTTTTGCGCGTGCGAAACAACCGAGAAACAGCCCGCTTATCGTTGTAAAGACCGTTAATAGATTTTACTGTTCACTAGATGTGATTCTCGGTATTGCCTTGTCCCGCAAGGGACAAAAGTCACGAGTTTTCACGCTGATTTTATGGCGTTATTTTTGCGTGTTGTGAGGCTACGGAGGCGCGTTGCGTAAATCGAGAGCATCGTACTAAGTGACATAATTCCTTGTCAATACGTTTAACTACACGAGTAGCATGTGATAACCGAGATTATATATGTTTTATAAAATTAATTGTAGAGATATTTTGGAAAAAAACAGCTGGTGATAATCTTTACGTCAAGATAATTCGAAAGTTCTGCTAAAAAAAAAGACGCTTCTTAACGCAGATATAATAACTCAAGTGAAATCAGTTTAAAAAAAATCTTACTTGACATAATAATTTATTCTTATTACATAATTCTGATTCTCTTATAGTAGGTGATAGAATAATATAATACATTGCAAATTTACTGAATCTTTCTCCTCTTGTATAGATAAAGATTTTAGTCCTCTGACATCACTCGCTCGTCACATCACATCACATCCTCGAGGCATCATAAAATTTTCGCCTCGATATCGTAAAATTATCCGATTTTCCCAGCGGGGGATGGGAGGATCAACATTTCTAATCATATCTAACAAATATATACATATTATTTATTTTGGTACGAACTTAGTACACGCGCACCAAATTATTCTTGTCAAACGAAAACGCCGCAAGACAACAGTGATAACATGTTCTCGGAAAATTTCTTTCTGCCATTGATTAATTAAGAATGGCGCTGCCTCGTGTGGGAACAGACTGTTGTTTCGTTTATTTACGCCGTAAGGTCCAAGTTCAGTCATCGCTCGACCTGGCTCTCATGTAATCGAGAGGAAGCAATAGAATTTTTTTCTTCACTCTTTTTTCTTATCGCCAGCGCCAGAAATAATTCAAGTCTGCGTATTAACACAGGCGGAACCCTTGTCGCAAAATACGACGATAAATAAATGAAAGGAACGACGTGGGAAACCGCCTAAATAATCTAAAAATTATTAAAAACACGTCTAGTGATTAGCAGAAATTAATTAAACATCCTATGTGTAATGCAAAAAAAACTGATATAAATTAAATAATTTTTTTTATCCATAATTAAACATCTTGTTTTTTTTATGACTTGGATGTTATCTTACTCATCTCATTGTGCATTGCAAGGTATATAGTCCAGCAGCGCGAAGATTCAATAATTTCACTGCTACCTCGCGCATTAATATCCGCTCCGGAATTGAGGGCTGAGAAGAGAAGAGAAGTGAAAGAAGTTAACAACATGATTATGCGATTGAGACCACCATCGTTATTGCTGTGTTTACATTCTTAGTAGATTGTTAGGCTCTTTTCTTGCGAATCATACAGATCGCGTGTGTTTATTGATAGAGACCGAGGCCTGTCCGAACTCGCGTAGATTTTCTCGTAATGCAGCTGCCAATAATCTTTTTATAACGGCAAAAATCGTGTCAGGTCAGAAACGAACATATTCCGAGAAATGATATAGAATGTATTTCACATTTTTAGACACTTGCGGCTTGCTCAGCGATTCACATTGGGAAATTTACCAATGAACTTTGCACTGCATCTGATATTTTTTCGTGTGGACTTGATTATAAAAGTGCTGATTCGAAAATATAGCGAAACATTCAATCACAATCGCAATCAATAAACAGGAAATCAAGACTAACATTCAGATATAAATATAAAGATATAAAATCGCGGATGTCTAAGGCTAATTAAGTAATTATAATAATTAATTATAACCATCTGATGTGTAATGCAACAGCGTTTGTACACGCATTGATAACCGTCTTGCACAAAAAATTCTTAAATAATGTTAAGCTATAGATATCATATTTATATTTACATAGATATTATTTCAATTACATTCAACATGCTTATTTAATTACACGTGAATTCGTTAAGACTTCAAAGAATTAAAACTGCAATAAAATTTCTCTTTTGTTATCTTTTTTTGTACTTTCTCTGCACGAAAAGAACAGTTAAGCTTTTAATCGTGCGAAGGGTGACGTCAACTTGGTTTCGCCGTATTAAAACCGAAATGACTTGCCATGTCTTGGTGAACAAGAAATACGACGTTCTCCATGAGTCGAGATTTGTCGTTATAGCTCCACAGGGCTATAAACCAATTTTACATCGGTTTATGGCATGTTTCAAAGGAACTAATAAAACAAATATTTTATCCGTGACGAAAATGTCCCGTCGTGTTTTTCATGCGTTGAAAAACTGTCGAATCCATTTTGCAGAAATTGACTTTGCATTTATATTAACGACGGTGTAATTTGTCTTCTATTATCTTGTAAACAATAAATCAGTATCAACTGTCTGTCAAATTCAGTAAACAGCCATCGACTTCTTTATTAGCTGTTTCCCGCAAAGTACTCGATCCCTTCGTAATTACGTTAACCATGGTAGTTTGAAGATCAGTCGCTTTTCCATCCAACCGTAGGATCTTTTCCATTCAACTGTCACTTCTGCAATAACAAATCGTTTTGTTAAACATGCGGTTTCTCGTAGCGTAACACCTCTGATGTACCGTACAGATTCACGTATCAGGGGCTGAGTATCATTTGCCGACCTCGTGCATGGTAACAACGTCCATTACCAAAGAATGTTCGATACAAATGAAAAAAAAAAAAGAAACGAAATTAATGACCTTTCAAACCTTCGTGTTCTTCTCTTTCTCTTGCACTAAGAATTTAGCGTTATCTTATCCGTATGTAACACGTTGCGATCGCCTTTTTAGGACATGTTCCTATTTTTATGTATTTTTTCAGTGAGTGACGCGACGCAATCCGTTAGGCTTCTTTTTTTGAATAAGTGGATTTGGGATTGCTTTTACAGATAACCGATAAAAAGGAAAGAGAGAGAAGACTCGCGTTTAGCTGATAACCCCGTGAAACTCGTAGGAGGTCAACGAGCGGCGGCACGCTTTTCTCGTATCCGCGATGGCGGCGTCGCCGCGCGCGATCGAGTTGTCTATATTTAGATTATCAATCGAACCAAATACCAGGAAACATGTGTAGATTACCAGCAATTGTCGAAGGAATTCCGAGAAAACGGAGGTGGACGTTTATATGGAGCGCTCCGCGCGATTAAGCCAAGAGACTAAATCACTGGCGAGAATTTATTATAGCAATGTTACGAAGAAAATCTGCAAGAAAAAAACAGTAAAAAGAATTAAATAACAATTTAATGATCCAGTGGCATCCATCTACGAGTTGGTGTAAAATAAGAAGTAAACTTATTATGGAAAATCTTTAAATAATCATGTTACTATAAATGTTAACTATAAATGTCGTTCCTAGACCTATTTTAAGATGTTACTTCTCCTACACATTTAATTAATTATTCAGTACTGCATTAACAATCCAAAGAACTGTAATTATATTCTCCGAAAAATCCATAAGAAAGCGTTCAGAAAATTTGAACAAAGAAAATAGACCCACTTCGTCATCTGGATATGCCAATGCAATCGATCAATTTTAGTACCTTAAATACTTTATTCTTCATTTATCGACCAATTGCAATAAGGTTTTATTTACGTTACGAGCTCGGTCGGTGATCTAATATCAGAGAAAATATATTTGACATACAGAGAGACCTATTTTCATTTCTGGCGAAATAAATTTGTCATTAAATTTTCAATTTTCTTGGTTTAAATTTGTCCACGCTACTCGCAAATCTTTTCTACGTATACGCAAATAAAATGTTTTATAACACATTACATAGTGAAAATAAAAAGTGATTACGAGAGTGCGCGTATTTATAAACATTAATAGATTACATACATTAATGTGAAAAATTGACTTTTATACAGCGTTCTTAAAGTATAACCTCTGACCCTATTCTCGCCTATATATAATAATCGATGGAACTTAACGCGGCTTGAAATTGCAAGGGTTAAACCGCCTTTAAAAGAAATAATGCGCATATTCCATTAACTATAGTACGTTATCATCCGGTCAAGTAACTTAGAGAAAAACATGTACTCATGTACTGTCGAGATTATAAAAAAAATCAGTTAGAAACAGATGAAAAAAATTAAAAGATCCAATCGCAATTTAAAAAAGTAAAAATTAAAATTATTTTAAAACATCATGTAATTCAATAAAATATATGTAATAAAGGCCATAAATTTGCCTACAGAGATCTCTTGTCAGATTATTAGTAGCAATAACTTAAGATTTATGTAACTAAATAATATATCAGAATCCTTACTATGTAGCTCTCTCTCTCTCTCTCTCTCTCTCTCTCTTTTTCTCGTCCGATAGTTTTTCTTTTTCGTTTCTTTAACGGCATCAATGAACTAGATGCACAAACTAAATATAGCTCTCTTAGCACATCGTTTTTCACTTAAGGCTGAAGAGAAAGGCGCGCATGTTCTGTACACTAGCCTGGGCAAGACCAGCGCGTCGAGATAAGTTTGCATGCAACACCATCGGCGATACCTGATCGAGATAGTGTTTTATATCACCGACGTGTTTCCGATTGTTCCTTCGGAAGGAAGGCAGAGCAAAGAGCCAAGGAATATCGTTAATGCATCGTGGTGCTAAGTAGTTGGAACAATTATTCGCGATACATTCACAGACCCAAGTCGAGCCGAGTGGGAAGTGCATCGAACCGCAATGCAATTTGATGCAACGCGACGATGAGTCAGCGACCGAGTCGCGACGCGCCATATATCTGCGGAAGAAACGCGGCGTGAAATGCCGAGACGCGTAATAAAGTGATAAAAGAAACGTCAAAGTCTCATAAAATTAATAATAACCGCTTGTCGTCGCGTGATGGTACGCGGCAAATACGATGCATCAACAATTTATCCATAATTAATTAGCTTTGTGATATCCGAATGTTTCTGAAATTGAAAGTAAAACGTATTTTATGCCATTGAGTATTATATTTTTCTTTTACAAATTTGTAATAAAATCACAAGCGATATATTATTCTAATAATAGTTAATGACGCAGTTAGTGACGTCGTCGTTATATTGTTTATTACGTGCTCACCCTTTGAGAAGCGCGCGGCGACAGATCTCTATGAATAATGCATCCATTAAATATCATCGGACACGCGAGAGGGTTCATAATCGACGAGACACCCTACGAAGGAAGCAGTGGCGATTAAGACATGGATAGCAATAGTCCACCGTTAGCATCCACCAAGAAGAGGATTAGTCCTCCGATCAGCTGGGGCCTCGGCCTTGCCAATAAAACAGTCAAAGTGATCTTACTGGGTCAACCGGGTGTTGGCAAGTCGGGTGAGTAATGATAAAAATTATTTCGGCAAAACATAAAGCGGACAAATATGCATTAAATACTTAACTCCTTCGATTGAGTAAATAAAGGCTTTTGTAATGTAAGCAACAATTATATTTTATTAAAGTTTGCAAAATTTATATTATAGATAACATAATTTTTTAAATAAAATATTCATATTACGTAAAGCTAATATATGTATACACATATATTAGCAATATGTATATTTCTGATATATCTCATGCATTATTTGCTTGTCAGCTTTAGCCGTGCGGTTCGCCACGAAACGCTTCATAGGCGAGTACGATTGCACCACGGATAGAATCTATCGGGTCGATAATCATCTGGGATCCTCGTGGGAGATAGCAGATCCTCCAGGATCTCCGCCCACTTCTGCTGAGCCGAAATTGCGATGGGCCGACGCGATAGTTCTCGTTTATTCGGTGACGGACCGCGTCAGCTTCGATGAGACTTCTCATCTGAGGTATGCAACCCATTCACACATTTTGTTCAAATAAATATAGAAAAAAAAAAATTAAAGCCGGGTATTATAAAGTAATCGCGTAGTTTATTACAAGATTATTCTGAAGACACATGAAGTATACGTCGTGTACTTCCAGGTTTTTGGTGTCGCATGCGAGAAAAGGCAGAAAGGTGCCACCGGTTGTGCTGCTTGTGGGAAACAAGGCCGATCTCTCCTGTTCGCCGGGTGAGCGTATGGTATCTGCCCTGGAAGGCCAGAAAAGGGCAAAAGAAATCGAGGCTCACGCTTTCCACGAGATTTCCGTAAGGGAATCAGTTGACCAGGTAACGATTCGCGATATTCTCGATCAGTTCGACGATGTAAAGTAAAAAATAAAGAAAGAGAGAGAAAGAGAAAGAGAGAGAAAGAGAAAGAGAGAGAAACTAGTCCTCCTAATTGGAGTAATGATATCAGGTTTTGATTATGGTATCATATCATTTCGATTATTTAAAAATAATATTAATCTTTAAAAATTATTTCTTCGAAGCGATCGGTGGGCTATAAATAAACGTCTGATAAGTGTATAGTTAGTCTATCAGTTAATCGCAGCAAAGGTTATTATTCTAAACTTTGATTGTTTACCCCACGATCACGCGTAAATGCCATGATCGCGAGCCATAAACAAAATCTATATCACTCGTTCTCAAGGCACGCGATATGAGCAACAGCATTTTCGTGCTTTTTATCTACGCATTGTAATAACGATCACGAAAGCGGATCAACATATTTTATCGTTCAGTAATAATCATATAGTCGAAATTACAAATTAAATTATACCAAATTAAATTTTTAACAATTAAGAGTATTCGTTTCAATATGATTCCGTTTTTTCAAAATTTAATTAAAAAATTAGTGATAAAAAATCATTAAGCGTTAAATATTAAAACGTTCGCAAATTTTCTTTGATTTTTCGATAAAAAAGATTCCAAAATTGTTTCAGAATTAGTAATTTTCATTAATAAATTTACTATATATATCACGTCAATAATAAAAAATTTGATATTATTACAATTAACATATAATTAATATACATATAAAAATGTTAGAAGTATGCAAAATAATACGTATAAGACGAAATTGACAGTGAAAACACGTATTCTTTGATTTTACTGGAAAATAATATTTCATAAATGACGTATGTGCGCGCGAAATGGAAGATACAAAGCAATTGATTTTACACGTATCGCGATAGAGAAGGAAAAAAAAAAAGAGATATGACGTGAATGATAATACTGAAACCGTCAACGGTGCCTGTAAAAAAAATATTTACGATAATATGTCGGGGCCTTTATATAATGGCGCGGTCATAACAATTCGCGATTATTTCCATTCGACAGGTCACGGCCGTATTTATGAATATACTAAAATTGTTGAGCGAACTGCCAGGACAGCAGCCAGCAACTTTTAGACTGAGGGCTTCCACAGATGGGACTATAAACACTCGCCGCCGTGAGAAAGAGTCACCCCCTCCATCGAGAAGAAGGTTTAGCATTTCCGCTCGCGGAAATCTATTATAAGCGTTAGACTTATATTTTAAAATTCAGTATTTTTTTTATCAAACACACAAGACATTGTATAAGAAAAATTGTATTTTAACTGTTTTAATAAATCTATATTTGTAAAAAAAAACTTTTTGCATATAATGTGGAGATAAAGTTGAAGTTTTCATCTTTGTCAATAATGCAAATTTATATATACACAGAATAAATGCCATGGCTCTTTTGAAATATATTACATAAAGAAAATCATCACACATTATGCAGTTACAAAATCGATGATTTTATTGCATAACGATTATCCTGTGGCTTTTCTGTATTTAGCCTACCCGTGCCTTATCGCGAGCGCAAGAGCTTTTGAATTTTCGTCTTGTATCGCCGTTCTGCAACGAGACACCGCGTTGGAGGCAGCTTTCCCGACTGCAGAAATAGATATGATAACGACAAGATAAGAATAATAACGAGGATGATTGTGTAATAAAAAATTTACCTCTGAGTCTTGCTACACGCTGCACACCGATATTCAATTCTTTCAGACTGGCCGCAAGCTCTCGATGACTGTTCAGTCGAATCTCATGTTCTCGGATCAAGTCGCCATTGATGTTTTTCAATTGCATCAGTCTTTTTCGCATTTCGTCAATATTCTCGAGGATCCTAGCGTCTTCTAAACGAATCACGATACTCTTCAGAAGATTGGCGCCGCCCGCAGCTTCCGCCTGGAGCCGCGCATCGACTTCCTTCAAACCTAATAAGCAGCAACAGAAAAATTTTGACGATATTACTTTTCCTCAAAAAGAAACGTTAACCGCTCTAGCCGGAAAAGAAATCTACTAAAATCTACTAATAAAAAAATCAGCTTATATTTTACCCCCTTCTTCCCTGCGTACCCTTGACACGATCCAACGCGTCCAGCATTCTGCTCTCTTCCGCTGGAAATGTGGCTTCTGAGGTCAGCTCTCTGACACCTAAATACATGGCGAGAGATTGAATAATATCGCCGGCAAATGTTGAATCATCCGTCTGGATCGTTACTTTTCCATTGGCATTCGATTTGAAGCAGTGTATTTGGTTATCCCGCATCCCACGAAGCCACACTTCGATGCATCCGGCATTCGGACCACTTTCTGCGATCTCCAATTCCTCTCCCAGGATGAGACTCTGGTTTAACCAAATGGCGATGCGCTGAGGCCTCTCTGCGACCTATAGAGATCACATATTTATTTTAAGAACAACTTTTAGACATCGTTTTTTAATCTAAATTTTAAACATGACTTACGTCTGTTACAACGCCATTACTCGACAATTCTTCCGAAACATGTTGCGGTTTTGGGATGAGCTCGTACATACAAAATTTTGGCAGCTGCCGTGTTATTTCAAAAACCTGTCGAATATTAAGAATGAATTAGAAATCTAATTTGTAAGATATGTTGCGTGATTATCGAATACCTGCAATAAGTCGGCACCAGGAGGACCAACGTACACTTTAACATGAATGTCTACAGGATCATTCTTGGAAGGATAAAGAGCGATCTCTAATTCTCCTTGTGGCCGGTTAGGATGCGTTACCAGCGTTTCACCTTCAAAAACACCCTCAGCAAAGACTATAGCGCAATGTACCTAAATATTATTTTATATTTATGACATCTCGCAATTTTTTTAATTATATAAAATTTGTATTAACGAAAAATCGATCTAAATCGAAGAAATAAAAAAAAATTGTAGTAAAAGGAAACTGAAATGTATAATTTTATAAAGAGAGATATCTAATTAATATATTACCAAAAGTCCGGGTCCAGCAGCAAGCGCAACGCGAGCTGCACCCCTTTGTGTCAGCAGACTGATGGCTAATCTTGATCCGTAATACATATTGGAACCAGTCGCAGCCCTTTGTCGTAATTCCATTTGAAGCGCTTGCTTTCTAGCTAATAATTCACGTATTATCTCTCCAGGTTCTGGAGTTTGTATTATGGACCCAGCACTATATCCACGTACTATATAAAATATACAGCATAAGCAAGAATAAAATAGTTTGATTATAGTAAAAATAATAAACTCTATATTTTCATACCTTCGCCGTTAGTAGAAATAACCACTAAATCAGGCTTGCCCGTTCTACGATAATCAGCATCCACTATACCCGCTACACCAGATGACAGCTGAATCTTAAACATGACTTCGCCAGTATTGTATGTTCTTGCATCCACTTTCCCGCTACTCCAACCAGTTATCAGCTCTAGTATACCATCGCCGTTTATATCAAAAGTTCCTACGGATACCACTTTATGCTTTGACTAAAATAAATTTTTTAAATCTGATTATAGCATTATTTTAACATTCAATTAAAAAATCCACTTTAGACAATCTATAATTCGTGATAAAATCCAAGACAGAAATCTGTTTACAATTTTGTCCATGTATCGTATCTAATATATATGTATGTGTGTATATATTTTATTTTGTGCAAAATATATATTTTCAGTGCATCATATAATACATAAAATTATAAATAAAATTTTTTCTCAAATTTTATTGCAAATTATATATAGATTGTTTAAAGTGGGCTTTAGATATAAAATAATAATTTCTTCACCTTAACTCGCCACAGTCTCTGTCCTGTTTCATAGACGCCAATTGTTCCATTGTCAACAGCATAAGCAAACTGTCTGTTTGAAAGATCAGTGAGAGCAACAATCGTTGCCGTTTCTTTAGTTTCCCAAAGCATGGTATCCTGCTTTTGCACTCTAATTTCAAAATCCGTTGTACCGATCAATAACTGCAGAACACAAAGTAATTAATTTTTAAAAGCAAAACTATTACAAAATACATATATACAACTAATAAATACCATTTACCTCATTCTCGCCATCTCCATCGAAATCAAGCACTGCCAATGAAGTGACGATGCCTCCCATCACTGTCCAAAATATTTCTGTACCCTGCGCATCTAAAACTGTGATTGAGCAATTGCCACCTACTATTGCAACCTGATTAGGTAGCCATCCAACTTTCGCAACAATTATACAATTCGCGCCGTCCGACATCTAAAACAATTACTATATAATTATAAGTTATGAGTTCTGCCAAGTTAACTTTAAGCTATAGTCAATACTTCTTTGTAGAAGACATCAGCATTGTCTTCAACATGATATGCAAGCACATGAGAAACAGTACCGATCAAAAGAATATCCCTTTCATCCTCTCCGAGACGACCAGTGCATAATGATTTGACCTAAATATGGATCATTGTAAATGAAAAAAAAATATGAAATAAAAATACACAGAATTCCCTTCCAGAATAATTTATAGCATTTCAACTCTCTAATACATTGTCAGACCTCGGTACCAATTTGAAGCTCCGCAAGTTCCCCGCTCCACGATAATCTTTTGTTGGATTGTTTGTGATCGGAGTAATCGATCTGCGGTTGCCTATGAGGACTGTGCACCAAAATGTTTCCACCAGGTGTAGCAGCCGCAAGACACGCGTGCGATCCATCGAATTTTCCACTCACAATAAGACCTGCCTTAATATGTTTCTGAATATTCAAAGAAAACTCTGCCATCTCTTCTGCACATTAGATTCACAGTATGCCTCATTAATGTTGTGCCTTCACCATTGGCATGGTGATCAAATATTGATTTTCTACATAGTTATATCTATAGATGTCACAATTATTATGTAATACATTACATTATTTTATCGTATTTAGAATAATGATATAAGCAATGTAATCACATAATCTAATAATTATATTTATTTTAGCAGAAAAATGTAATATTATACATATGTAGTAATACTTAGAGGATTATTATTAATGTATCAATTTTTATTACATTATATGAAATTATATACTATATAAATTTGGACAAATTTCATAAGACCATCCTCTGAAGTGTAATGCACACACAGGTACAAATTATTTTCATTAGATCATTGTCTTTGTGCACTTCCTCCTGCAGCAGCTTCTGGATTTGTTGCAGATGACAGCAGCAGAAAGATTAATGCAGGGACAATATACATCCACTGCAACAAAAATAAATGAGATAACACATTGTGCAAAATCTGTAATAAATAAATTTCTTTTAATAGAAATATGCTTACATATTTCGCAAGGAATGAACGATTATCTTTGGTTTCTCCTCTCTCTCTCGCTTCTCGTTCTCGTTCGAGCTTTTGAATATACATAGCAGTATCTGGAATAGGACCGCCATCTGGATATCTGACCATGACGTTAGTGGTCCACATATTTGTGAAGGGATTGTCTAATGTACAGGGACCTAAGGATGAAATGCTCACAGCTATCGGCTCTGCTGCACTGTCCAACCATACTGTTATGATGTCTTCTAGATCGGAACCAAGCAGATAGCACTGTAAATTAACAATGTTCATTATATGATCAGCGTATCCAAATGTAATAAAGTATAATGTTTTACCAAATGAGATAAAAACCATCCACACTTTAAAATGATCTTTAAATGATCTTCGCTCAAAATATGCTTTAAATGTTGCCAACTATAAGCACCCTCATTAGTGGCTTTATTTTCATCGATGGATCTATATCAATGATAATGAACAATGTCTAAAAGTTTATCGAGTAATATTACCGCTGGCACTGAGGTGAAGAACGTGATCTCGCTACCGGACGAGGTGCGTGCCAGTGCCTTCACTCTGTACTTGCCGTCGTGTTCGGCAAGGTTCTTCAGCGCGTTTATCTGGGCTGTCAACAGGCCGTTCTGTCCGACAACAGACGCGCCACTACGCACGCTGGACACGGTGATATTTCCTCGTTCCGTGAACACGGGCACCGGATCGTCATTGAACGCGTGCCATAACCGCAATTGCAACCAGCCGTCGTAGTCGAGCTCGCTCTAAAATTTCGAAATTTTCATTAACGTTTATACACTCATCGAAATTTCGAAGAAACACCAAAATATTAACCCCACGAACGAGATCCACGAAAGATACGCAGAATAGTATACTGACGATAACGTAGGATAAATACATTTTTGCAACGATGCACAGATCGTAATAGATAAAAATATATTGAGGATAATTATAAAGTTACTGGCGAAGCGCCACGTTTCATTGTATGACGCTAATTTCTAAAATCGTGGTATATGCTCTTGCTATCATGTCAAATGTGCCATAGATACATAAACACGATATCTACAGCGCTGGTTAAGGTTATAAAACAGCTGTTCCGTTCCATTTTAACCATAGACCATAGACATATAATACGTCTGTGCCATAGACATAGCAAATATAAGACTACGTGCTGATCGATCAAGCGCTACGCCAAAATTAGAAAGAGAAACAGAGCTTTGGGAAGTCTAGTCTTCTCTCTCAAACATAAGATTAGATATTTCTGTTAGGTTTTCCAAAAGTTATTTTTTTTTTAATGATTTGTATAAATGTATTAGTGTATAACGAACATTTTATTTTGAAGATAAAGAGTGAACAAATACATATATTATATATTTGATTTGTAATAGCTAATATCTTCCATTATTCTTATTATCTATTTAAAACGCAAAGTGCAGTAATACAATATAATTTGTATAGGGAGTCTACAAATACAATATATATATATATTTTAAAAAGAGTTACTCTAGATTATTAATTGCACAATAAATTGATGCTAGTAGTTATGATAAAATCGCAATAGTTGTTCCTCCAAAATCACAATATCAATAACAGTATAAGCATATATATATATAGACATATATGCTTTGTCGCTTTTATTTAAAACTTATCACATTACAGCAACTTTTTCATACGATATAAGGTGATTAACACGGCGTTTCGCAATATTTATCTAAAATCCTACTTAATTGGCAGATTTTTTAGATACGATATTACTTGATTAATCTTGATCCGTCAACTCCTTGTCAAAAATAAAAATACCGAGGCCTTCTCCGACCCTCTCTAAATTCGTCACGTGATCAGATATCTCTTTTATTGCGTCCACTTGCTCTTGTAAGAATTCAGTCTCCAGAAAATCCATGAAATTTGCGTCGTTGTGCGTCGAAGCAATTCCGTGTAATTCAAGTAGTTTCTATAAAAATAAAAAAAGTCGATTGTGAATAAACTTGTGTTTTTGTAAATTATATTACGTGAAAACAAAAAAATTGAAAACAATATACTTATAAAATATTGTATGTATTTATATAATATTGAAATAAAAGAAAAAAAATTGGTTGGAGGAGCTGGGATTTGAACCCAGGACTTTCCGCATGCGAAGCGGACACTCTACCACTGAGTTACACCCCCGATTGTTACAATGTAGCTTAAAATCGTGGTATTTCAAGAGATATGTGTGTATCCAGCAAACGATTTGTGATAATTAAATTAACAAACGGCGCGAGAAATCCTGGAAATTGATTAGCAAGACGTACAAACTTGGTCTTTCCTATTAGCTGTCGACATTTAAGATATTTATCAGTATGATAATATCGTTCTTACTATGACTCTCTAACAATATAATATGATTAGTAATATATACACATGCATATACATATATATTAGATTAGCAATATAAATTATAACAATAAGACCATTATTCTTTCTCTCTAGAGCATAATGCTTATAATAAATATTAATTATCATAAATTTTATCAGATTATTTATCAAAAATACTTCTATAAAATTATTTATTAAATATTGACCAGAAATTCATAAAATTAAAATTAAAATAGAAATTCAACATCGTTAAGTACATAAAAAAATTTTTTATATATTGCTTCTTTTATTTTAATGCTATCCTCGACGGTATCGATTACGCGCAATAATATCGCGCACACACCTGGTTCACTTTTTTTTCCAGCTGTAGTGCTTCTGTCATAGCATCTTTCGCGCTGTTCCAGTCTCTCCTGGTCGGCGCCTGAATGTCCATCAGCACAATATCGCCACCTCGCTTATTTTGATAAGTCAGGAATTTCATAGCATGCTCACGTTCCTCATCCGAAGCTTTCTTGAAATATTTGTATAGGCCCCCTAATGCAACGTCACTTCTGTCAAAGTAGTATGCCTGTAACATGTAAGATGTATCGAGAGGCGGAGGACTTTGCACAAGAGGGTAAAATGATGTCTTAGGTTTTTTAATCCACCAAATGTATTGTATCTCTCTAAATCTCGACATTTGTACATATAAATGCGTTTTTATTCGATTTTGACGATGGGAATTTTATTATGACAGATCGCATGGCATGAAAGATTAAAAAGGGGTAGTGCCGAGAGACACGTGTATACGTGGTTCTATCGGGGTGCATCGAACATAACCAACGAGGGGAAGCTTCGCAGGGTGCTTCGATCATGGGATGCCGAGGGCGAAGTGGGTTAAAATCCAAGTCTGATCAATACACCGACTCACCATTGACAGATAGACATAACTGGCATACAGCTCCAAATTGATTTGCTTGTTTATCCCGTCCTCGCATTCCTCGTGGAAGTTTTGTCGCACCAAACTCATGATTACAATTCTATAAAACGGCCTAATCGCTTGCGTTTGACTAGATACTAGATATGAGAAAATTACGTTTTCACGGAGAACTGTTAATAAACCGCGAATCGATAAGCGATCGTTTGTACGTTACGAGGGGTGACGCGTTACTTGAGCACGATGCCGCGAGTCTCTAGTCTTTATACGAGCTTTCAAAATATTCCGTAATCTACGACGGAATAGTCGGAATGCGAGACTGCACGCAAGCGCGACTTCCCGGTGGTATATCGGCAAGGAAAATCCTTCTCTCTCTCTCTCTCTCTCTCTCTCTCTCTCTCTCTGGCCTTGGCTTAATTGTAAGTTGGAACTCGCGCAAAAACGGACGACTCTAAAGGGGCACCGGCACACTAGACACAAAAAACGACAACAACATCTTTTATAGTGCATAGGAAAATTATGTTTCTGGTGATATGCGCATGTTTAAGTGATAACAGGAACTACAAAGAGAGGACTTATCACAGGACTTATTTACGAGAACTGTAATATAATATTTGTAATTCTGAACGATATACCTGACAAAAATAGTTTGGCTCGGTCATTTGAATAGTATAATATTTATTTTATGGTCATGATAAATAAAAGAAACATTATCGTAATCTTTTTCATGAATTACGCTTTTTTCTCTACAAATTTCATCGACATTTTTCTAACGAATCCTAAATTTGAAGATACTACATTTCTTTTGAATTTGTGTTAAAAATCGAAATAAATCTAACTATAACAAGCTTTTTTGTCTTTATATATTTATACCTTACTTTTCCATTTGTTCCAATCTCTAACTTGTTCAATTTATTTGTTTCATTTCAAGCAAAGAAAAATGTAAAGAGGTATTTGTCTCTCTTTTCAAGATCATCGTTAAACCCAGACAGCACACAATATTTTTGATAAATATTCTGATAAATATTTATAAAATATTCAAATAATTATTATAAATATTTTGTACATATTTTATAAATATTGTGTGCTGTCTGGGAAAAAGATATGCTACAAATTGTATGAATAACATGTCTGAGGAGGGACGCATCTTTCAAGTTAAAAAAAAAAAGATCTGGAAATATAAAAATTAAAATTCATGCTCAAGATAATATTTACAAGGTTCCTCAGCTTTTTATTTTCTAAATTTAAAATCTATATTCTACACTGATGTATACTCGAACATATACATCTTCGTGTAATAATTTGCAGTAGATTTATTCGTATTTTTCAGAAATACTTTGATTACCGATCACAGAAAACAAATTTTTTCTTATAATTCCTTCTAATTCGTAATAATCTATATAGTTTACATACATTTCGTATACAATACTACTCCTCCTATCTAAAAAAGGCATGTAAAGTCGATACTCGAAAGTCTCGAAGTGTATTGTTGTCGCTTTTCCGCGATGCTGATTGGTTCTGTCATTGCGCTCACTTCGTGAGCGGCTGTCATTGCATATTTTGACAGTTATTATTTTGTTTTTTTATTATTTTGTGTATATATCGTTAAAAATGTTTAATGAAAAGGAATAAATAGCGCGCGCGAAGCGCGCGTTGTGTTGTGCTAGTATGTACCTAAAAAGTATATATACACAAACTCAACGATAACGATAGTCGATTGTCGATTAGTCAGCTGAGGCGCCAGCCTGGCGCCTCAGCTGACCACTCTCGTTGTTGACAGTCACTGATGCTGACTGACGCCGCGTTATATTTCATATCGCGAGTCATTCTTCAAAGACAAATACATGACGTAATATAGTGTAACCTTGGTATATTTACTAGGAATCTCACGTATGCAAAAACGCACTCGTTTTTGCAGCTATGGTCCTCGTTTTCTCGACGCATCACGAAACACAAAATCGGAAAGTTTGAAAAGGATTCATCGTATGGGGTTATGTCGCGAAAAATGATCCGGAATAGCGTATCTTACAAGATTATTACGATATTCGCAGTGATATTTGAAATTTCGGCTACCAAGCATTGGTATGTCACCGAAAATGGAAAAATTCAGCCGCAGGTATTTCTTTTTTTTTTTTCTGTACAATTTTGTAGATATAAGATGCGTTTCAATCTTTCTAAATTCTAAAGGAACCAAACACATTGCATTATCTTTTAATGATTCAGCGTACATATTTCAGCATGACAGTGTTTTTGATATGCGTCGACCCTACGATCTTCTGGCGTTTCTGGAACAGGAAAAACGCAGGGAAACAGCCAATGCTATATATAAAAAAATTTCAAGGAAGGAAGTGTCCATTGATAATCAGTTTGTTAGTTTAGGCATAGCTGATACAGAAAATTCCAATTCGGATTGTTTCTTATGGGATAAGTCATTGGCTGATGTCAATGTACATGCTAGTATAATGATCGATTACAGATTCAGAGATGGGATAGAGTGAGTGATCATTAGTATATATATATATATATAAATAGAATATTTATTAAATAAATTTAAGGAATTATTCACAATTCAATGCCAAAAGTTAAAATGAAACCTTTGTTGCAGCCGAAATGATTATATGTTATATAATGTAGTGGCTAACAATAAACAAACAATTCCAGACTGTCGAAAAACATTTCCACTAGATTTTAGTATCTATACATTCGAACATCTTAAAGTATGTGGCACATTATTCTTTCCACAAAGATTGCATTATACAATAATATGTCTGTGTTATTTTTTAATTTTTTTATCAGGCGATGCAGAATCGAAAGAATCTTACGCAATATGAAGAACTCGACTTAATGAAGTATCTACCGCCGAATATTGATCTCAATGAATTTGGTCATCAGCTCGCCTATAGTTTATCTCGCAATAAGACCTCCTGGGTATACTTGAATCTAGCGTCGATTTATTGGCGGATTAAAGGAAACGCTTACAATGCTTTAGAGTGCAGTCGTAGAGCTATTGTTTGCGCTTCAAGGTAATATAATAAGAAACTCGCTCTTAGGAGATACTAAAGAAAAGTGTCGTCGGAAGACCGCCATATTATTTCAAACTGATCTCGTAACGAAAGCATTGTACGTGATTAAGGCAATATCGCGATATTCCTCTTCTGACTACTGCCGGCATTTTACACGCTGCAAAATATTCTGGCGAAGCCGCGATTATTTTACACGCGGCGATAGATCATAATCCGATAGAGAGCTACCATCATCTAGCATTGGGCCATGTTTATACGTCTCTCGGTGATTTCGAACGATCTGCAGCGTGCTATGATAATTGTTTGAAACTAGCGCCTGAAACGAGAGAGGCCGAACAGATGAAATACGTTATATTATGCCATCGTTTGTTGGAAACAACTTTATTATTATTCGATCAGTAAGCTAATATTGTTGTTTCTAATTCAAAATAAATGGGTACTGTGTATGTGATATTTATTATACGATTATTACAGCCGCTTGCGGAATGTACTGTCAGAGATACACGCATATCATGATTGGAAGGAGGAATGGTTCAAGCTTTACGAGCATATGCTATGGGAACAAAATATTAAATCCACTACGAGGGAAATTAAACTCGCTTTAGCGCGAGAGCAGAATCTACATGTCCTCGCGATAAATCCAGTCGAAAAGTCAATTCATCATATTGATAATAACATTGTACTGTCTTACATGGATTTGGGAGATAGGATAAAATTAGCTGAGAACATGCTACAAAATGTTCATGGTAGTCTACATTTGTTAAAAAATCTGCAAAATCAAGTAAAAGTGCATAGTAATCATATCACAAAAGGTATTTTTGGAAGAAATATAGATTCTAAGAATATTTTGCATGCTACCGTTAAAATCCATTTAATATTGCTACAGACATGACAACAGAAATAAATGTGGAATATGATCATATGTTTGCATCACCGACAAAATACCCAAAGTATCACAATGTAGAAATCAAGAAAGGAAACGAGGATTTTGAAGCTGATTATTGGCCAAAGATTTCTGATTGCGATGGTTCCATGCTAATGTTTGGAGATGGAAAACAATACCTACCTGTTTATTTGTCGCCTGAAAACAAAGGTTATGTGTAAGTGTATTTCAAAATGTACTTCAAAGTGTACTTATATACAGGGTGTCCGACAAATAAGTGACCAAACGAAAGGTGGAGGTAGATTGGGTCAAACTGAAAAGAAAAGTCCTGTACCATTTTTTTCTATAACGCTTAATAAAGGAGTTATCATTGAGTAAAGTCTGGGCTGACTTTTAGCCGGACGCACGTCAGTGAGCCGTCCACCTGATAGTGTGCGTCGCCGTAGCGACGGAGCGCTCACGCACACTATCAGGCGCGCGGCTAAAGATCGGCGCTGATTGGACAGACTTAATCAGTAATAACTTCTTTATTAAGCGTTATAAAAAAAAATGGTTCAGGACTTTTCGACTCAGTTTGACCCAATCTACCTCCACCTTTCGTTTGGTCACTTACTTGTCGGACACCCTATATATTGTGCCACATTGCAATGCATTAATAGTACATATTTTTTTGTATATCACTAGAATACATTTGTTCGTGAACGAATTGATTGATATAGAACCATGGAAGAAGCATCCATTACCATGGCATCCACCAATATGTCAAACGCCTAAATCATTTAATAAAAAATATATTACACGTACGCTGCTAGATGCGACTGTGCAGCAACGTTCATCGGACGCTTCTCTAAAACCATTTTTACATAATTTGGTTCCAACTGCAGACTTTGCGGAAATTGGTCAAAGAATTTTAACAGCAACTGAGGCGGTAAAATTTTACATAGCATAAAATTATATTTTTGTATATTATAAAATTTAATATAAAATTATAATTATAAAACTTAACTGTGTATCAATCTCAAATCAGAAAGTAGCAGCCTCATGGGTATTGTCAATACTTGCATCTCTATATTGGAGAATAGTTGGGAAACCTCGTTTAGCCTTGGATTGCCTTCAGTTAGCATTGGATGATGTTCCTAAAGAATTCAGGGATGTACCTTTTGTTAGTATAGCTTCGATATATCACAAAGTGGGCTTAATTGATGATGCTGTAAGAATTACAAATGAAGCTTTGGAAATTAACACTGTAGAGGTATGCATAAAGAATGTAATTAAATTTTGTATCATAAAAAGAGTATTTTTATTGTATGAACAATATTTTCACGATATTAAAAAAAAAGACTTGTTTTTATATATTAATCAAATAAAGAAAAATTATTTAATAATAATTGATATATATATTTCAGCCAATGACTAATTTTTTACTTGGTATATTATTGAATATAAAAGGAAATTATACAGGAGCTATACATTATTTGAAACAAACATTAAGAGTG